CAAGGAGGAGGCTGGTGGGGACCAGACCTCTCCCACCACCCACCCTAGACCCTCACTTCCTCCCCATTCAGAACCCCAGGCCTAGGGAAGCCAATTGTATGCAACCCAGAATAATCTTTCCCAGGTGTGATGGGCCCCCAGACACATGTTGAAGTCCTAACCCCTAGTATCTCCGAATGTGACTGTATTTGGAGAAATGATTTTTAAAGAGGTAATTAAGGTAAAATGAGGTCATTAGGGTGGACCATACTCCAATATGACTGATGTCTTTGTAAGAAGAGGAGATCAGGACACAGGCACGCACAGAAGAAAGACCACGTGAGGACACAGAGAGGAGACGGCATCTACACGCCGAGGAATGAGGCCTCAGGAGAAACCAACCCTGCCGACACGTTGATCTCAGGCTGCCAGCCTCCAGAACCAGGAGAAAATACATTTCTGTTGTTTAAGGCCCCCACGCTGTGGTGCTTTGTTATGGCTGCCAAGCAGACTAATAGGCTTAGCACAATGGCCATCAGATTCATCAGAGAGGACGGATGAGCCAAACGGTCCCCAAACATTCATTGCCACCGCAGCCTTGGTTCCCTACACAGAGGCATGACTGTCCCTTTTCCCTCTTTCCATGATTCTTTCCTGGACTTGTCCCACAGTAAAATGTGCTGCCCTGTGCGGCAGTGAGCTCCCTGTCACCACAAGCATTTAAGGAGTTGGACAACCATCACAGAGGAGCCACTGAACTAGGGGATGGGAATCGAGGGCTGAAAGGCTGAGCTCCAAGGGAGGTGGGAAGGGCTTTGGAGCCAGACAAACCTGGATGCAAATATCAGCTCTTAACTCATGACCCTGGGGGAGATCACAAACCTCTGCACACTTGCTGTGTCTCCAACCAGACAACGGGGTTGGTACAGCCTGAGCTGAGCTGACGCTGAGGTGGGTTCCATACCTGGGGTTCTGCCCCTTTGGCAGGTCCCTTCCCTCCTGGCCTCGGTGTTCTCACTGTGGCAGGAGGGCTTTGGCCTGGGCCGCCCCAGCCTGGGAGGTCGGCCTGCAGAGAACCAGAAGTCCCCACATGGATTTTTTTCCCTACATTTTGCTTCTGAGATTGATCAGGGATGTCGTGAGGGAGTGAGAGGACTTTAAGTGTCACAATGCCACACACCCTAAACTTGAGCTTGGAGCTGGGGGGAGGGAGCAGGCTGAAGGCAGCAAGGAAGGGGTTAAACACAGAGTAGTTCCTGAGACTTTTTTTAAGCAGGGTCACCAGGAGGGCTTCCTGGGTAGCCAGGAGCTCTGAGCCCAGTGCTGGCCACCCCTCACTGCCCAGAGAGGGGTGAGGTGGGGACACAGGTCACTTGAGAGGATGCAGGCCAGAGATGATATCTGCTCTCAACTGCCTGGTTCAGTGTCCCCTGGCCTCCTCTCCAAGTCACCTGGGGGATTCCAGAGGGACTGATCTGACCTCTCCAAACCCTCTCCCCCACCAGGCCAGAAACAGGAGAGAGAAGAGGTGGCCACTTCCAGAAATGGTCCCATCTCACCCTAGACACACTACTCTCTGCCTGTTTGGAGAGGACATTCCACTCACTCATTCCTCAGTGAGTGGCCCACATCCTCCTCTGTGGGGCAGGGGCCAGGCAGGGGACTCGGCCATTGCCTACACTGAAGTTTTGCTAAATGCTTGCTGGAGACCAGCTCCATGGGCTCTGGGTGCTATACTCCATGCACCACCACCTCGCTACCCCTCTCTCCTCCCGTAAGGGTCCAGGGTAAGAGGTGGGGGTCAGAGAGGGGCAGACACTAACCCACACTTAGCAGGGACTCAGGTATTGCCAAAGACACAGATGCCCAGAACAGGCCCCTGGGGACGCTTGCCAACCCAGGACACACAGTGGTTAGCACTATGGCTCCACACCCAGATCTGCTCTGGACTGGCTTGGCAACCTTGGGCTGGTTACTCAGCTCCTGTGTGCCCACCTCATAGGGTGGCTGTGAGTGTGAAATGAGATGATGATGATCAAGTTCCTGGAGCTGAACATGGTAAATCCAGGCCCTCTCTCTTAGTAGTGTCTGCAGGCCTCCCACTGGCAGCCCCTCCTCAGGTGGGTCTTGCTGCCTACAATGTGCACAGAATGATTTGTTGGCTCAATCCCATTTTACAGCAGAGCAAACTGAGGCCCCAAGAGATGGCATCTGGTCTAAGGATTTGAAGCCAGATCATTTGGCTCTGGAGGCTGTGTTCTTAACCCCTATACTAGACTGCCTCTCATAAAAGTTGCTATAATAATCCAATACAGTGGGTAATATTACTGTCCCAAGTTTGCAGATGGGGAAACTAAGACAGCAGAAGGGCTAAACAACTTGACCAAGGGCATGAGCTGCAAGGGGAGGCCTGGGATCTGAGCCAGGTGGGCCAGCTCTAGAGCCCACTCTTGCCCTGCACTATAGCACCTCATGGCTGACCTGTCTTGCCTGCTCTAGGGCCTCTGCAGGAGCGGGCAATGCCATCTTGAGCACCATTTCACCCCATGAGATGATCTTCCCTAGCCCTAGGACCTCTCCAGTGAATGGCCAAGTCCCCTCCCAGGCTCCAGCTGGAGCCATCTCCTGAGTACCCTGGAGTCTTGGGGGCTAGGCACCCTTAGCCCAGCTAGCACGTGCAGAAACGGAGGCACAGGGACTTGCCCCCAACTAGGAAGACAGACGCAGGTCCCCTGTTTCCCTCTCTTGAACATTAGCCAGAGGAAAGTGCTTTTCACCTCTGGGACCCAGAATCTAGAGCCTTCCAGAAGTGCCTCCAGCCAGGAGCAGGGTACAGTCACTGCTCCTGCCCCAGGGCTGGTCCTGGCTTGTTCTCCTGTCCCTGGGGCGATGCAGCTCAGTGGCAGGCAGCAGGGAGCACACAGTGGCAGCAGAGGGTGTGCTCTCGCTGGTGGCCACCCAGCTGCACAGCACCCAGCCCAGGCCCAGCCGTCCCCAGGGTAGTCCAGGAAAGAGGACAGCAGAGCCATACACTGCCCCCTCCAGGCAGAGGGCCAGCTTCCCAGCCTCCAGACAGCAGCCCCTCTGTCCCTGCAGGATGGACTGACCTTTAGCTGGCAGAAGGTCCTGCTGGTTCTATCCCCTGCCTGGGGAGCAGAGGAAGAGCTGGGGGCAGGAGGAGAGTGGGGCCTCCCATGCCCACCCTTCTTGCCTCCTGGTGCCCGGACCTCCTGCTGCTCTGACCATCTCTCCTTCCTTCTCTCATGGCCACTCCATCCCAAGGCACGTCTTCCCCACATCTGCTCCTTCTTGCCCTTAATTATTTCACTTTTTATTTGCCTGGCACTTTGTAGTTTACTAAATGTATTTACATTTATCATCACATTGAATCGCACCAGCGAGAGATGGGGAGACATTAAAAATTCCTCCAAATGGCCAAGTGTTCTTGTTAAAAATGCAAACCTCCCCAGAACAATGAACAATTAAGCTGGCAGCCATTGGTACCTCAGAACTAATCCATTTCATCTCTGCTTCCTCCTCAGCCACTTGGCGCAAGCAGATGGGGGTGCGGGCAGGAAGAGAGTGCTTGGGGGGGAAGCCTCAGCAGGGTGGGGAAGGCCTTGGGGGTGTCTTGGGCAATCTGTGGGTGCTGGGCCCCTAGGGGGAGGAGAAAGCACCCCAGGAAGAGGGCAGGGAACTAAGGAAGGCATGAGGACAAGCCATTGACTTTGCAATGCTGCACATAAAGAACGTGCTCTCCGTGAGCCCCCAAGTTCTAGTCCAACCAGCCTCCCTTGTCCCCCCATCTCTGAAATCTACTGCTCATTCTGGTGCTTCCAAGGTCAGAGGGAGAATCTTTATTCAGGAAAAGGCCTAACAGGCTCTCGCAGTGGAGTCATCAAATCCAAAATCTTGGAGAGGGAAGCAGGACACAGGGTAATGCTGACGAAAGAGTCCAGGGTGAGGTCCACAGGCCTCGTTCTGCCTGACCCACCTCTGCCGTGCATGGCCCAGGGTCCCCTGCCCAGTACTGGCTTCAGCTGGGAGGAGAAGCCCATCCTTGAAAGGGCACATTCTGGGTCGTGGGGGTAAATCAGGAGGTCCTGCCTTTGGGGAGGTCTCAGTTACCCCAACTGAAAACAGATGGGGGATGGGCCAGACCATCCTGAGGTTCCTCCCAGCTCCAATATTCTGCAGTCCTATGGCCAAATTAGGAAACCAAGGCTGTGACCAAACCCAGACAGGGCATCTCAAGAGTTCCTGGGCATGCTCACTTTCTGGGACCCCACCTTACACCCCATCACACATATTCAAATGAACCACATAAATACAAAGACACATATATAACTCTCAGGAGTTGACCTGAATTGCAGTTGACCATTTGACATAATGTTAGATTTTGTAGCTAAATTAAACACGTATTAATTTCCATTCTGCAGCTTTCTTTTCAAATTCCAGAGCCTATTGGTTTGTTTCCAGCTCTCAAACATTTTCGTTGGCTGTTGATGAAAGCTCAAAGGCCCTAAATGCTGCATCTACGGTATTAGTGCACTGATCCCAGAGAACTCAGGCAGGGAGCCTGAAGAAATCCAACAGTGGGTTTAAAACAAAGATAACAAATGCTGTGTTTGCAGCACGGGGGTATCTCAAGCTCCACTCAAGGCCATCTCCTCCGAGGAGCCCTCCTGACCACTCCAGCTCTCAGGAATCCCTCCCTGACAATCTCAGAGCACTCATTTCCGTGAGACTAATTTGGCAGCAATGGTGCACTCCCATGACACCCCCGTGTGGCCATTTTGCTGCATTCTTTGGCTTTGTCCTCATTATTATCTAACATATTCATATATATGCCTTGTCTTCCCCTACTGAACTGCGAGCTCTCAGAGGTGTCTTGGACATCTCTTCTGCCTCCCCTCTGAACCCAGTATGGTATCACAGCAAGCCAAGAGAACCCAGGCCACATGAGCAGGGACTGTGCAGTGTGGGGGTGGGGGAGCTGGAAGCCACTGGTCCCCACCTACCCTCCATGCCATCCTCACGATGCCCATTGAAGTTGTCGTAGGAATCCCAGCGGATGAGGGGGTCGGAGGTGTTATAGTCCACAGACACACTCGGCCCGTTCTCCAGGTGCTCCATGCCTAAGTGGGATGGGAGAGGCAGGGGGCAGGCGGGCAGACAGTGAGGAGAGGGGAAAAGAGATTGGCAGCCGGAAAAACAGAGGAAGCCAACAAGCTCCCCCCAGGACGTTCCCTCAGGGAGTTCTCATTTTCTTGAGCATGGTGGGGTGGGACCTGTGGCTTAAGTTGGATGCAGAACCCAGGAGTCTGGTTTCTTGCATTCTTGAAAAGGCTCATACCTTTTCATAGGGGTAAATCAGGACAAGGCACTGAGGAATGAAGACCCCCCCAGGAGAAATCTAGGAGGAGCCCCTGACGGGGTGTCTACCTCTTTCTTTTCTGTGTCCCTGGGGCCCCTGAGGCAGTGCCAAGAGACCAGAGAGTCTGCCCTGAAGTTAGGAGAGGGAGTGTGGGACAGGCTTGTAATGGGCTGCATGGGGTCAGGGACAGCGGGGAAATCACAGCCTTGACACTGAGAGGACATGAAGCCTCTAAAAGGTCATCCCAGGCATGCTCCTGCCCCCTACTTAAAATGCTCCCCACTCCAGACAGAAACTTGAGGGGAGAGGCAGAGTCTCCCACACATCCCTAGAAAGCTCAGATCAAGACAGCACTGCTGCAGGTCAAGCCTTCCAGAGTGAGATACCCTCCTGGCCTGGCAGTCCTTTCTTGAGTCTATCCAGAGTCCCTCTGCCTGTAACCTAACTTCATCTCCTCCCACTGTGTTCTCAAATAAGATGGAGAACTGGTCTCCACATATAACCAGTCTAGAGGCCTAAAGGCTATTATTAAATTGGCCTTCAGGTTGAACTACCTCACTTCTCATAAATACTCATCGTCCATCCAGCACCTCTGAGTGTTCTCCCCCAGGCACTCCCCGCATCCACCATGGCCCTCCATCTCTGAATATAACAGGCTCGTGACCTAATTAGACCAGAACAGTTTATCCAACCCAGCGCCTCTCTGTCTACTTTTTTATTTTTATTATCCAGAGATTAAGTCACTGGTTCAGGTTTAGTTGGGGGTCCACTCTGATACTCAGATCTTTTACTGCTGGCCTGCCTCTCAATGACAGGTAACTTGATAACCGTAGAGCAGACCAGTGGAAGGATGGTGGGGGTGGGGTGTGGACATGTCAGGATGGAGGGAAGAGGTGGGAGAGTTCATTCTAACTGGGCTATTACCTTGAATTTTCTCTGGACCATAAGAAAATACAAACTCCACTTTGCCATATTCTGGAAATCGATCATCTGAAAAAAGAGAAGTAAAAAAATATGTTCAAGTAATTCCCAAAAAGGACTCCATAAAGAGTTTGCTTCTAGAAAAAGTTAAAGTGCTATGTGTATATATGGTCAATAATATAACAACAACATATATTTATATGTATATGAAATTATATATGTGCAATGGAATTAAATATCCTGCCCATCCTACTTGCCTGAGGTAGGTGACTAGCTTATGCTACTAGCAATTTACCTCTAACACTCTAAATAATGGCCACTGTTTTTATGCCACTATTTCTAGATATCAATTTTATTTTATTTTATTATTTTTTTTTTTTTTTAAAAGATGACCGGTAAGGGGATCTTAACCCTTGACTTGGTGTTGTCAGCACCACGCTCAGCCAGTGAGCGAACCGGCCATCCCTATATGGGATCCGAACCCGGGGCCTTGGTGTTATCAGCACCGCACTCTCCCGAGTGAGCCACGGGCCGGCCCTCTAGATATCAATTTTAAATATTCTCCATCGATTCACCACTATGAAGATGAATAATTGGCTCACTTATACTATTCCCATCTCCCTTCTTCTTAAATCTCCTTAGGTTATTTTTTTTTACTTACTCTACTGATCACCTTTGAAACTTTAAAGACTGTAGTTGAGCTTCTATTTCTCGATCTGCCCATTTCAACGGTGTCTCACCCCACTCAAAGATTTTTGAGTTTTGAGCTCTCACCGCATATGAGTAAAAGGAGGAAATTTGTGACCCTCCTTTCCTTCCACCTCTCCCCAGCCCCATATTTATTTTGCCAGCTATATATTTTTCTTCCTTGTTAAGACTGATAACATTTACAGTCTGGTTCTGTAATTATAACAGCATCTTGTTTTCGCCCTCCTGGCTTCCATGAAAGGAAAGCTCATCAGAGAAACATCCTTCTCATGCATCAGCCATACTCCACTGAGGGCATGTGGCCCCTTCTCCAAGTCCCCAGCCCCACTCTGCTCTCTGCCTGAGCCTAATTTGGACACAGATCACTGTTCACTGCTTGCAGGAAAAGAAGTTACAGCAAGAGGGTGTCTGCTCTGTGGGACACCCATCACGCCTGTACCTGTCTCCCTCACTTCACAGTATCTCATTTGTGTGTCTCTCTCCAACAAGACTGTGAGCTCCCTGAGGGTAGGGCCTGACTTCTTTCTCTTAGTATCCCGAAGATTTAGCACATGCCTGGAACATACAGATAAACAAATGGTGCTTTGGGGTGGATGGATGGATAGATGGATAGATGGATGAATAGATAGATGGGTGGTTAGATGGGTAGATGGAAGGATGGATAAACAAGTGGATGGGTGGATGGATGGATAAATAGGTGGGTTGATGGATGAATGGATGGATAAATAGGTGGATGTATGAATGAATGTGTAGATGGATGGATAGATGACAGATGGATGGGTGGATAAATGAATGCATGGATGGATGGCTAGATAGATGAATCACAGATGGACGGATGGATGGATGGATGGATGGATGGATGGATGAACAGATGGACAGATGGACAGATGTGCATATGTATAAGTCCCAGGCCTGAATGTGATATAGATCAAACCTCAAATGGATAGAAGAAAAAAGCAGAAGAAAACACCAAACCTTCTCTGACCACCTCTCCTTCCCTCAGAAAGTGGTTCCTCCCTCACTGCTGCCACAGCTCCTCCACTACCGCTCTTCTACCCTGTGGGATAATTACTCCCTGCGAGGTCTGCCTCCCCACTCAACAAGACTTTTGAGTTTTGAGCTCCACCAAGGCAGGGATCATGTCATGTTTTACTTTGAATCCCAGCACTTAGCACTGAGCCTAACACAAAGTGGATGCCCAGTGAATGCTGGAAAAATAGTTGTCAACAAGACACATGGGACAAACCGAGAGGACAAGATGAATGAGACACAGGGAAAGTAGTAGAAGAAGGTGGAAGCTATACAACAGCCCAGGGACTGGGGAGGAATTCATCCCCATTTCTACTGACAACGTGAATTCCCAGACTATCCCAATCTTGACTCTCTCCCAATTCTCTCTCACTGTCACAAAGAATGCCCTGAGACTTGGCAGGCCACATGGCTCAGGAAAGATAGTCCCCATCTCCACCATAACCCCTCAAACTGCCACATGCCGTAGGAGCCCCCCACCCCAACCCCACCCAAGGAGCCCACCTTTGAAGGCATCGTCGAGGTCCTCCTTCCCAAAGACGAGCCCCAGGTCATGGATGGCACAGGTGTGGAACTGCACACGGAAGATGACGTCTCGGGCCGGGCTCCGGAACTTCTTATGGTAACACTTCAGCTGGGGGGGAGCAGCAGAGCCAGTCAGGGGCCCGAGGGTGGGAAGTCAGATCCCAGGGGGTCTCCTTATCAGCTCCATAGACTGAGCCCCCAAGGCTCGCCCCAAACCCCATGAGGGAGAGGTCGCTAACACCACGCAGGATCTCAGAGTTTTCTGGGGAGACTTCTAGAACAGCAGAGAATCCCCCCAAGCAGCAGAGCCAGTCAGGGGCCCGAGGGTGGGAAGTCAGATCCCAGGGGGTCTCCTTATCAGCTCCATAGACTGAGCACCCAAGGCTCGCCCCAAACCCCATGAGGGAGAGGTCGCCAACACCACGCAGGATCTCAGAGTTTTCTGGGGAGACTTCTAGAACAGCAGAGAATCCCCCCAAGAAGTTCCTGCCTATGGGTTGGAATGGAAAAAAGTGAGAGTGGATTTAAACTGCAACAGAAAGGACTGAAGTTAGAATGGAGGGCATCCTTGTCACCAATAGGAATCCAGGAGCGATATTTCCCTGGAGGTGTTCCAGAACAAAAGATACGCCCAAGGGAAGGACGTCCAGCTCCAAGGCGGGGGAATGAACAGGATGGAAGGCCTTGCAGGACCCCTGAGCACCTATGATTCAACATCTGGCAGCCCACCAGGAGTGGCTGTCTTGTCCTGAGAGGCAAAGGGGAGCAGGAACAGAGAAGAAGAAAAAACAAACGAACATGGGGCTTGAGACACAGGGTCGCACTCACCAAGATGTCCCCCTTCAAGAGCAGTCCCGGCTCGATGGTGATGCAGATGCTGGTCTGGCTGTCTCCTGGGATGTTGCTAAGGAGCGAAGTAAGCAGAGAAAGAGAGGGCGGCTGGAGGTGGGTGCATGGAACCCCTGCTGCTCCTCCACCACAGGCTGCTGGGAAACCTCGCTGCTCCTCCCCTTCAGCCCCCTTGAGAAGAAGAGGTCCTAGGCAGCCCCCCACCACCACCCCCGTGGTTGGCCTTGGTCCTTGAGCATCCCTGGCTTCTCATTCCCCTGGAATACTTACTAGATGCCAGACGTGTAGACAGGTTGCATGGCCTGGTAGATGCGGAGAAACGGCCGACACCCTGTCAGGGAGGGGTGGGTGTTGGCTGACAACAGAGACAGCCGGAGGAGGACGGGGGAGAGGAGAGAGTGAAGGAAGAAAGAGAAAGGAAGGGAGGAATGGGGGAAGGAGAGGTAGGAAGGGGAAAGAGGAAAAGAGGACAGAGAAAAAGGAAGCAGAAAGGGGAAGAATACTAACTTTCCATCTGCAAGGCATGTTCAGTTCACAAAAACAAGGCCACGCCCAACATCATCTGCCAGTGGGCATTGCAAGTATAGAGCCCATTCTACAAACGAATAGACTGGGACTCAAAAGAGCTCAGGAAGTGATGCAGTTGAGACTCCAATCCCAGCCCCATGACTCTGCAGCTCACATGCCGATGAACCACCCAAGGCTTTCTCTTAAGGAGATGAGATGGAAGATGGGAGGAAGGAGGGATGAGGGGAAGGGAGCCAGAAGGCTCGAGGCAAGTACCTCCTTTAGACTCAAAGTTGGGGATGCCGTGCATGATCACGTGGTGCAGAAACAGAGGCTTGTTGTTCATTTTGATGGAGCCGGAGAGCAGGCCACTGAAGTAATTCACGTACCTGCAGTGGGGACAAGGGCAGCTTCAGGGAAAAGGGCCTGTGCTGGGGCAGAGTCATACTGTTCTCTTTTCTACAAGAACATCACCCAAGAGCTCCCACCTATTCCCCCTCAATTCCACCCCCGCCTCAGGCCTCCTGGCAGCTGAAGTCTCCATGCCAAGACAGCCCCCCGCCCTTGCTGCCTGAAGCCCCAGGTAGGGTAGAGCCAGCAGGTACTACAAGACCTGCCGCTGGCTCAAGCCAAACGTCCCACTTGGAGTTCTCCAGCGCCCCCTGGTGGTAAACACGATCATCTCTTTCCTGCTTCACTCCCAGCCCAAGAATCTCCTGTTGGACCAAAATTCCTCCCCACGTGCGGGCCAGGCATCATTTAGGTGCTCGCTACTGCACAAGGCAGGCTGCCCAACGCTCCAGCAGCTCTAACATTCACACCAAGCCCAAATCAAGCTTAACACTTACACTCACAGCCCCGGTTCTGGCCCGACAGACCCACCAGCCACATGATAGTCCAGCAAATAGTGAGGGCTTAATAATCATAGTTCTTTACTTTCTTTACATCACAGTAAAGTGAATGAAGTCCCTCTGTATCAATTATTTCATGTGGTATTTCAGATTACTAACTTCCAATAAGTTTTCCTATCTCCAGGGTCAGCATCCCTCAATTCTTTTAACAGAGAGCTTTTTGGAAAAATGGAAGGATTAACCCACCTCCCCTCCTTCTAGACAGAGAGGAAAAATTAGGTCCAGAAAAGATCGCCAGACTCCCAAAGACACACAGCAAGACACACAAAGCTGGGAGTGGGTGGGGAGAGAAGGAAAGAACTACTCTCTAGCACTGGGCTGCCGAGCATCTGCTCAAACTGGAGGCCAGTCCTTTAGGTGTTGATTGGCAGGCACTTCCTCCTTTTCCGACTGGCCAGAGAATGCCAGGCTGAGGCAGCTAGACCAATCAGAATGCATCCTAAGGCTCTGTGGGATCCAAAGGGAACTCTTTGAGCAGGTTGGGACCGGAAACCGCATGACGATGACAAGGCTTGCCTCCTGTCTCTTGGCTCCTCGGCCCACCTCCGGGCCTGTGGGCCTCTGTCCCTGGGCCTGGGTGGGGCCACTTGGACTACCCAAGCAAGATAATCTGATGGGCAGCGCCTGCTCCTATTCAGGCCCCTGCCCAGCCCCCAACCCTGTTACTCAAACCGGAAACCTGGAATGGTGGGTTCCTATCAGACCTCCTGATCGTGCCAACAGGATGTGTCTGTGTGCTGTGGACAATGAATGTGGAGGCGGAGTAACAATGAATGGAGGAGCTGCAGGCAAAGCCCCTCCCTCCCTCTCTCCCTGCCCTCCACTCCTCCAACTGCTCCATTCCCTGCAGGTGACAAGAAGGCGGGAAAGTGACAACAAATGCACAGTAAACCCAACAGTTGTACTTTCACATTTGGGCACAGACAGAATGACCCACCCACAAGCAGATGCAGCAGCAGATATGAGCTGCCAGGCAGACACAGATAATGTACACACACAGATAATGTGCACACACAGACACGCCCCAACCATGCTCCGTAAGCACATATTGAATACTGTGGAATCCCTGAAAAATCCTGTTCCTGGAAGGTAACCCTGATCCCCATTCTCCGGGCCTTTCCCACTCAGCTTCAGAGACATGACTGCTCTGCCCACTTTCCAAGCCACATTGTGCCATTATAACAGCGTGTTCCTCTATTAGTACCCCTTCAAGGTCAAGGGCCGCACCATGACCAAGACCAGCAGCCATACGTGGCAAGCCAGGGACTGAGAAGCCAGCATTTAACCAACAGTTCTTTCCTCCCTGGGAAGACTCACATTGAGCCACAGCTGCTGTGTCTGCAAGCCTAGCCAGAATTTTCCACGTGTAAAGATATGCATTTCTGATCGCCAAACCAGAGGCTAGCTGTTAGCTATTTTGTGCCAACTGTAAAGTGCTGAGTTGCCTGAGGACTCGCTTCTGCTTGGGTTTCCCACTACAACGGCAGAAACAGCTCCCAGCTGTGACACACACTTCCAGCCAGCCAAGCAACATGGGGGTGATGGGGTGTATGTTAGAAACACTGAGCATGGTGAGGCTGGGAGGCTCCAGGACCAGCAGCTATTCGGTCCTGTTGGCCCAATCTGTGTTCCCAGGGGCTAGAAAAGCAAAGGGGATGCTTCAGCCTCTGCCTGGATCTGTTCCCTCTAGCTGGATGCTTTTCTCCAGACCTTCATCTACTTGGATGTTTCCTTCTCTCCACTCAGATCTTACCTCACATGTCACTCCTAAGAAGGTCCATCAATTTGAATGAGTCCTCATGCCCAACTCCACCACTCTCTAGCCATCATGATTTGTTTTTTCCTTCAAAGCACTTCTCACTATCTGAAATGATCTGGATTGTTTGTGAACTCGGGTCTCATCCACTAGAAGCTAAACTCCATAAGCCCTTGCCTGACAGGTTCGGCACCATGTCCCCAGTGCACAGAATGGTGTTGACACATCTCAGGCAGGTGGCAGGCCTATAACTCCCAGCCACAAAAGGAGCTGGGCCTGGGTCCCACTCCCCAGGTCTCCAGTGAGGGCTTGGGTTCCCCCCATTCTGACTGTAGCTCCCCAAAGACCACCTGACCTTCATACTGCTCCATGCCTTCCTGTAGATCAGACATCACTGAACCACATGTTAACCACAGAGTAGAATCCCTCAGGGCAGTCAGTGGGCAGCACAATTTGGGGGCACTGCCCTGGCCCAAGGGTTACTAGTTCTTCATGGATGTGCCTACTCGGCCACTACTGGCTGCGGACCCTGGCCACATGCCCCCTCCCTAGGCTCAGGCTTCTCATCTGTAAATTGGAGGTGCCCTAGACCGTCATATGGCAGCTCATCGTTATTCCAGTTAGGGCTCAAATTCTCCTTCAGTCAGCTCTCGTCTCTGCAGTGCTCTATTCTCTCTTTTCGCTAGCACTAATCGCAATCTGACACTGTCTTGTTTGTATGGTTATTTGTTTACTGTCCTTCTCTCCCAATAAACTGTCAGCTTCCTAAGGTAAAGGACTCTGCCTGTTCACCTAGATATCTCAGCGCTTGCGACTGCAGTAGACTACCTAAAATTTGCAAAATGAATGAATGAATCTCTCCCTGCCCTGCTTCCTACCTGGGCTACTGTTAGACTCCAATGTGACCACGTGGCTGAGAGCCCTTGGTAAAATTTTTAAACTCTCCCAAGAGAAGGTGACCTTTATCATGCATGTCTGTGACTTCCCAGGGCAGGCAGCAGTGACATCAGCCTCCTGTAGACATGTCTAAGCCTTGAGGCAATCCTGCCACCAGGGCCAAGAATAGCAGGTGCCTCCTTACACAAGTGCCTTCTTACCCCCAGACTGATGCTTCCCCTACTCTCTAGCACAGGCCTCGGGAGCCAACAGCCCTGCCAACCTGCAGGCACATGGAGGCTGGCCCACGGGCTCATCTGTGTCCCTGAGCTCACTCCACTCCAGGTTGGCTTCACAACACATGTGCTTGGTACACCCCCACCAAGGCACAGCTGTCCCATCCCCCACAGGTACACAAGTCTAGTCCCCTTGTAAAGTGAGGTCACACTGCATGTACTGGGCTGTGAGCCCTGGAGACCCACCTTCTTTGGGATGGCTGGCCAATGGGCACAATCTTATCCTCATAGAACCGCTTCATTGCAAACCGGTCCAGAGCTTGGTCTGCGCTGTTGGGAGAAACAGGTGGTCGTAGGAGCCAACTCCTATGTCCAAGAGTCCCTTGTCCACTTACCCCTGCCCCCAGCCTGCAGAGCCCTCCAGCTAGCCTTGGTAGGAGGACAAGCCTCTTCCTCCAGCCATCCTGTGCTGAGAAACTTTCAGGAAAAGAGCTCTCCAGCATCTCTCCGTCCTGTGAGGGGCAGCCCTCAGACCTGGGGCTTTGGAGCCAGACAGCCTGGGAGCCCATCCCAAGTCTACCACTGACTAGTCCTGTGTCTTGGGGCATGTTACCTAACCTTTCTGAACCTCATTGTCCTCACCTGTCAACTGAGGGTGATAATCGCACCTTCCTCAAAGGTTACTGTGGAGATTAAGTGAGGTCATCCATAAAGAACATATAATATGTGGGCAGGAAGTGTCCACCACTAAGCAAAGATGAGGCTGGGTTGGATCCCTCAAAGTCATAAAACTACCACCCTACTGGCAAGTCGTCCACAGAATATTCTACCCGTCCTCATAGTGCGCTCGGAGAGATCATTTTGAAGCTGAAACACAGATTACGTAGCTCCTCTGTTCCTGACTCTCCAGTGACTTCCCATCACTCTTAGCACAAACTCTGAGGTCCTTAGCAGGACCTACAGGCCCCACGGCTCTGCCCCCCCCAGCTCCTCCTCCTCCTCCTCTTCCCTCACTCATTGGTCTCCAAACACACCAGCCCCTCACACTCCCACCCCAGGCCTCTGTCCTTCCTGCAAGGCTCATCCCCCCGACTTCTCACGACTCGACCCTCCTGCCCCACCATACTTCAGGTCTCTGCTCCAACATCACCTCATCAAGAGGCCTTCTCCGACCAGTATCCTGTGCCACCTGCTGTCTCTCTCTAAATTCTTTATTCTTTCCTGGTAATTATCACCTGACATTACTCATGTGTTTGTTTACATATTTAATGTCCACGACGGCAGTGGGTTGGCTTTGCCCACTGCTGTCTTCCCACCGCCTAGAACAGTGCCTGGCAAAGTCCAGCTCCTCCTCCTCTTCCCTCACTCATTGGTCTCCAAACACGCCAGCCCCTCACACTCCCACCCCAGGCCTCTGTCCTTCCTGCAAGGCTCATCCCCCCGACTTCTCATGACTCGACCCTCCTGCCCCACCATACTTCAGGTCTCTGCTCCAACATCACCTCATCAAGAGGCCTTCTCCGATGAGTATCCTGTGCCACCTGCTGTCTCTCTCTAAATTCTTTATTCTTTCCTGGTAATTATCACCTGATATTACTGATGTGTTTGTTTACATATTTAATGTCCACGAGGGCAGTGGGTTGGCTTTGCCCACTGCTGTCTTCCCACCGCCTAGAACAGTGCCTGGCAAAGTGGCTGTTCAATAATCATGGTTGAATGAATCAACAAATGAATGACTGAATCCCTCTGCCTCCCTGCAGAACAGAATCAGAATGGGATTCGTCCACTGGTCATTTCTTATTCTTGCTCCAAAACACCTGCGTGGGAAGAGAGCCCTGCTGGCCAGAGGCAGGGGGATGAATGAGATTACTTCTAGATGGTTCCACCACATCCAGATCTGATCCAATATCTTTTTCTGACTCCCTCCCTGCTCCCTGCTCACCCAGGGAAACAGAAGGCAATTTGGCAAGGACAAGTTGTCCTAGAAGCTGGCTGAATGGGCGGCCCATGCGGGGCCTACTTCCCAAGGCTGCCCCCATCAGACCCCCGGACAAGGACAGGTCTCTCTCTCCTGCTACAGAGCTGTGGGCAGGCAGATTCTCCTCTTCTGGGCCCATGCGGGGCCTACTTCCCAAGGCTGCCCCCATCAGACCCCTGGACAAGGACAGGTCTCTCTCTCCTGCTACAGAGCTGTGGGCAGGCAGATTCTCCTCTTCTGGGGGCTCCTGCACCCATCCTCCTCACCTCTCACCCCCTCTGTCCTTGTCCTCCCACCCCAGAGAAGGGAGGGGCAATGGATGGGGGAGGGGGTCATACTGTCAATATTCAGAGGATAGGGCCCCTCTTACCTGGCAGAAATGTTGCTGTAGTGCATGTAAGCCGCAATAACAACTCCTATCCTGCCTCGGTTTCCCTGAAAGAGCCACCAAACACAAAAGCCTTTATTTCTAAGGCTGGTCCTGCTGCCCCAAGGCCCATCTAGAAGCCTAGGATCAAAGGAGGCAGAGGATAGAGAAAGGGGTGTGACCCTAAGGGAGAATAGAAGGGGGAAGGGGGACACAGGGGAGGGAAGCAGATGGCAGCTGAGGTCAGAAAACACACAGCTGATCATCCACTGCTGGGAACACAAGCTGGTACCTCCCACTTCTTGGAGGTGCCCCCAAGACAGAATCTATTATCCCTAGAGAGGAAAATACAAACAGATGGATTTGTATGCTCACACAGTCCAAAGATACAGGCAGGGATCCACACTCATCCACGGATACGCTCAGGCATGTGCATGCACACACACACACGCACACAGACACGCAACACGCACGCACCCCTCTGCTCTGACCTTGTTGTGTAGAACGATGACATTGTGGGGATCTGCGTTGAGCCACGTGTCCATGGCCTTGCAGACGCTGCAGATCTTCTCCAGGGCTGGGGTGTGTAGGTCGGGCCAACCAAATTCCAGTACCTGTGGCCCAAGCCATGAGTGAAAAGGGGGAGGAAGCCCTGGAGAGTCTAGCAGACCAGCAGGAGTGACACACAGAACATGCCAGGACTGGGGCAGATGCCCCCAGCAGTCAGCCCTGCTGGGAGGCAGGGCTGTGAAGGGCAAAGGCCACCAGCTGGGACTGCAGACCCTGAGCCCAGGCCTCTGGCACTGACTCACTGGGGGGCCTCAGGCATGTCCCCTCCCCCAGCCTCAGTTTCCTCATATGTGCACAAATTAAAGGCTTGGAGCCAATGACCCCACAGTCCCTTCCACACAACTCTGCCCTCAAAATGTGCTGAGTGGCCTCAAGTCCTAGCTCAAGGTGAGAGAGGGCCCTGGACATGCAAATCATCCATTTTTTCAGGCCAGCTGAGAGAAGCATGAAGGGCACAGAGGGCAGATCTGAATGGCAGCCTCCAGGCTCCTCAAGAGCTTTCCAAATTCAAAGAACTCAAAAATAAAAGAGACTTTCTGCTAGGGAGGCCCACAGAGCAACACCTAATCCAGCCCATCCACTTTCAAGGTGCAAACTGAGACCCAGAGAAGTCTGTCACCTGCCCAGGGTCACATAGCAACAGGCACCAGAATGCAGGAGTGGGGAGCAGACACCCATGGCAAAGCCTCACATACACCCCACTGAGCAAACACAGTAAAAGCTGGCTAAAGGAATGTCTAAAGCAGCTATTCCCAACTGTTTTAAATCCAAAAACTAAAAATCTCACAACTCGAGCCTCACCCCAGAGATTCTACGTGCTCCCCAAGGGGGCAGACCTGGGTAGGAAATCACTGTCCCAAGCTTTACTTTCTGTAATTTGCATTACAGATACAATAAACATACTATTTTCCATTTTTCAAATATCAGATGGCACTTTATCTTTGAGTAGGCTTTTCAAACTGTCACAGCACTCTTTCCCAAAATTCTAATATGGGAACTGCAGGAGGCAGAGCTCATCCAGTGTTCTTCTCTTCCAGTCGGGGAGAGTCCCCTTCCCAAAATGTCCATTGGCTCACCTTAGCATGGAGCTTCGTGACATCAGGTCTCCGCTCAGAGAGGTTGAACAGCTAGAAGGAGAAAAAGGAAGAGACAATGAGGAGGTGAGGGTGAAGGGGGCTGGAGGGGGGAGACAGCGCCATGGCAGGGAAGCCCACTAGTCACACTGGGGACGGTGGCATCATCTCCAGCTTCCTCTGCAGAGTCCACTGCACCACTGGGTCCTGAGCCACGGGCCAGGCAAATGCTACCCAGACCTCCTGTGCTCACTCAGTCCTCCCGATGGCAATCCTATCCACACACGAACATACAACGGAGTCCCATCAGACACACATTGACCAACAGGAACTCAATTATAGGTTCTCAGGAGAAAAGGAGAGAGAGAGAGATGTAGACACTCAGCTGTTCCCCAGTGAGCGGATGACATCCTGAACCAACAGTGAGAAGGGGCTGGAAGGTCTCCAGTCCCACAGGCGTCTCATCATACTGAATGAGAATCCAGTGGTGTTACATGGTAAGTATTTGGCCATCTCTGATTTCCACTTCACTTGTTGACTTTAGAACCTCACCCAGGACAATGCAACTTTTCTGTTGCCAGACACTCTCCAGCAGAGGGAGGAAACAATCCTGGGTGGGCCCTCTCAGACCCTCTACACCCTGTCCTAGCACATGCCCTTCAACATCTGATCACACCCCATGTGATCCCCCTGTCTCTGGCACTCCTGTCTCTACCTCTGAAGCGAGTGTGCAGAGCTTCCCTCCTCCACCCCACTGCCTGGGAAATTCACAGACAACTATGTTGTCTCCTGGGGAGAAAAGAGAACAGCCCAGTCTAGAATAGCCAGGATGTGGGGAGGGAACAGAGACCCACAGAATCCTGACCTCTGGAAATCAGGAACGATCTTAGGTGGCTTCTAGTCCACTCTTGCTCCCCATAAAGGAGCGCAAGAGCCCCATTCTGCCTTCTGACACACAGAAGGCTCCCGAAAGATCCTGGGGCTGCTCCAGAAGAGGACGGAGAGCCTGAGCTGGGTGCTCTCCAGCATCCCGGAGCTGAGCCCTCAGCTGCCCTCCCCTTGCTCTCAAGCTGAGCTGTGGAGTGGGCGAGAGGCCTCTCAGGGAAGGAGGCAGCTCAGGTGACATGCTCACCTGGGTTCCAGGTAAGCCAGACCACAGTGCGCATTCCTGTCCTCCCAGAGACAGGCCGACTCCTGCCCTTTGTTCCCTGGCTCTCTCCCCACCTCTGGCAGCTCCCACTACCTGCCAGAGCTGCTTCTTGGCAGGGGCCTCCCTGGTTTCTAAGGGTCCAGGAACAGAGGGCGCTGAGTCCTTGCTGCTGTGGTTGCGGGCGGCCCCCAGCGCCATCTGTGTTCCTTGGATAGGTGCGCTGGGCAGTTCACCCTCCAACAGGCGCTGAGGAGCAGGGGTAAGGGGCTCATACCTTTACATCTCTCCTGGCTTTCCTTCCAGGGAAAGGGCCCGGATGCCCACTGGGGACGCCCACCTGTAGCTTTTGGGAGTACCTCCCCAACCCTCATCACCAACCTCCATCCAATGGGGGGCAGCATTCACTTTTTTTTTTCTTTTTTTTTTTTTTTTTTTTGCTAATCTTTCACTACAGCAGGATAAAGTTGAGACTGGGCAGCAAGAGGAATACCACCAGGGTATTTAAAAGTGACAGGGCTTTCTAGCCCTGGAGTGTACAAGCTCCAGGACACTAAGGAGCCTAGAAAAATCCAAATCTCCACCAGGGTTAAATCTGAGCCCCGTTGTTTAGATGAAACACGGAGATGGGGCGGCCGAGGATGACATACGGCCTCTCCATGGTGGGATGACAGGGTCTGAGTAGTAGAGGACCAGTGGCCAGAGGTAAGGAGCCCAGCTTGAGTGTGGCTGCTGAGCCTGGCCACTCCTTGTCCCTGTGGTAAGCTCGCTGAAGCTATTGGGGTGGGGTTCCTACCCAAGGACAGATCTGTAGGTGGTGACCAGTCTGGGACAAGAAGCCACATGCACTTATACCCCAAGAAAATGGATATGAGGGCAGGGAGCCTCAGCTAACTGGAGCATCCCCTCCTCGCAACCTTCCAAAACCCCTCTTTGTGCTGGCTCCAAGGAGGAGAATGGACTGTCAGAAAAACTTGCAAAGCGAGCTCCTATCCTTCCAGCCTTTCCCTCAGCATGGACGGGGGGCAGGGGGGTGAAATGCATGAGTCCCACGTGGCCCATCCTGGCCACTGACCTGCCCCTGTCCTCAGGCACGTTCCCAGAAGGATGCAGAGGCAGAACAGCGCCCCCAGCTGGACATCCTCAGCATCGCACTCTGCACCCACCTGCCCCTAGTCTGTTCTCAGCTGTAGGGGAAGGTGAGGTTCCTGCAAAGAGCCACCTGCGCTGGCAGCTGGACCTCACCCCTCCAGCAGCTTCAGCTACACACCAGGGCTGGCATTCTCGCTCATCTGGGGAGCCCCAGAGGGTGAAGGTGAGGGAGAGCGGAAGCAGGGGCCAAACAGACTCTCTGGATCAGCAAGCACAGAGTCCCCTGTACATCCCCTCCCCCAGCCCCCACCAGCCCAGCCAGGTGGAGAACTTTCCTTTTATAAACTCTCCACTTTCAGAAACCCCTGTCTGCAGAGAGGAATGAGAGCTAGCACAGGCCTTGATGCCAGTCAGCCTGAATGCAAACTCAAGCGCTGCCTCTTGGTGGTTGTGTGACCTTTAACAAGTGACATAATCTCTGGAACTCAGTTTCTTCATCTGCCAAATGGGAATAAAATACTTACCCTAAAGGGTTGTTGCAAGGACTAGATGAGCTCATGCAGGTAAATAAAGATTCCAGCTCAAGGTCCAGCTTGGAACTAGAGCTGAAATCGTGACTGCTGTCAAGTGGCATCTGCCTGCATCCGCTCATTGTGCCTTTCACGTTTGCCCACGCTCCCTGCCAGTGGCTTTATGGCTTCAGTTTGGGGGACCCGGAGGCAAGACTTGACAAAAACACCCACAGTGACCCCATTGCCTACACTTCTGCCCCTGCCAGGCATACCTGATGGGCTGGGGATGGGACTGTATGCTCGGGGTGACTCTGGTGGAACCCTGGGAAAGAGAAAAGAGAAGCAGCATTAGGGAGGGGCAGGCAGGATGGCAGGAGGACAGCAGCAGAGCTGTCCACGGGAGCAGTCAGGGCTGTGGCCAAACTCAGATTCTCTTCTCCATTCTCTACCAGCATTCCAGCCCTGCCACCCTAACACCCCAGCAACACAGGAACCCAAAGCCAAAAGCAATCAATGCCAATTCCACATGAGTGTGCCTGCCTGCATGCAAACCCCAAAGAGGCCAAAGGAGGAAACCCCAAATGCTGAGAAAGGTACCCCGCCCAGGCTGGTGCCATCTGCAGCGGGGACACACTCAAACAACAGTTGCTGAATCGATGGAAATACACTGTGTCTTGACTTTCTGGCCCATTGTGATAGTAACCCCAAGTGGAGAATGCAGACTGCAACCATGAAGAAATGGGACAGACGTGAGTGGGGGCTCGCCTCTGTCCTGCTCCAAACCTGTCTTCCCCGACCACCGTCATCCACACTCCCCTCCCTGAAACCAACAACAGTGAGTCATTCGATTAAAAGTTTTGAGATCAGAACAGCCAGGCCTGTCACGTCCGTCAAGACAAGGGCTAAGGCGGCGAGCCACGCTCCTAAGGACCCATTGTTAGCCCATCTCACCACTCCCATTTCCAAATTAGGCAAATGGACCCCAGTTGGTGCCCAAAGGCGAGCCACGCTCCTAAGGACCCATTGTCTGTTAGCCCATCTCACCACTCCCATTTCCAAATTAGGCAAATGGACCCCAGTTGGTGCCCAAAACACCCCCGGGCAGCGGTATGGCATGGTGGTGAAAGCACAGGGTCAGAGTTCATGGACCCCAGAGTCTGGATTCCAGCGTCCTGCTGGGCAGCCTTGGGAGTTACTTAAGCCTTCTGTCATGTCACATGTAAAACGGGGCAGAGGCTTGCAGTGAGGATTCAAAAGAATCATGCACATAACGCACTTTGCATAATGCCCAGCACTCAACAAATGACAGCTGTCGTTTTTGTTATTGCTATCATGTCAAGTACAATTGAAAGGGCAGTTACTGAGAGGTGGTTACCACCAAACATTCACCTCTACAGAAAATCAAAACCCTTCATCGCCTCTACCACTCGCAGCTGCCCATCCTTTTGGCCACCTCCTACAATGCAGAATATGGACACCCAATTTCTAGGTTCCCAGGTCCAGCCCGAGCCCTCTGAGCCCCCTGACACTTTCCAAACACCCTTGTGCCCCCCAGAAACAGCCTTTCCTGACCACCAAGTTACGGGACCACACTCTGCCGAGGCGAGAAACTGAGGCACAGAGTAACTCACCCCCAAGTCCCTGAGAAGTTGATGACCAAGCAGGATTCATACTCCAATTTGGGGCTTGACCACCAGAACCCCAAGAAAAGAGCCCCTTCAGTTCTCTGCTGGGCCTGCAGCACCAATGAGGCAGGGCAGGTGGGCTCTGCAATCCAGCTCCTAACTCAGCCCATAGCTAGGGCAACTCCACTAAGAGGAGGGCTCTCCATCCAGCTGCCCAGCATCCCCTCTGCCCGAGCTGCCTCCCAGCTCTGCCCAGCTCAGCGGCAGCAGAAGGAGGGAAGAGCCAAGCTGGGCTGTCAGGTGGAAAGTTTCTCAGTCTCCATAGCTCTTCTGGCCCTGAGGACTCAGGTTTGCGTGAGTCAGGCTGGGGAGGGGAGTGGGGGGCAAAGAGGGGTTGTTTGGTTTTTCAAGCCCCAAACCAGGCTGTTCCTAAACTACGCGCCAGAGCAACACAAAAACTCAACACTTCCATCTCCTCGCTGGTCCCTGATGAGGAGTCCCTGAATCTCCCCAGGCCCTAGGCCCTGCTCCAGCACCCGGGGCCACCCTGATATAAATAGCCCCTCGGGTTTCATCTGTTGCTGATCTACAGCTACTTTTGGAGGAAGCCACCACAACTGCTTCGAACAACTGGAAGCCACAACCATAGCCAAGGCTTGAGGTGTGGCCAGAAACATGGGAGCAAAGAGCTGGAGAGAGACAATGGGATATATTGAGACAAGCTTGGCAAGGAAACCCGGGAGCCAAGGGGAGCTGGGAGCCTCCAAAGGCACAGGGGTTAGAAGGACGAGCAGGGCAGGAGACCTGGCTCCCGTCTGTCCACCGCCTTCTTCCAAACGTTACAACACTCCACATTCCTCAGCCTCCCCGCCCCAAAAAAGCCGGGGAAGATAAATAAAAACTTGGCCCAAACAGAGTCTGGCCATGCTGACTCCAGAGGTGATAAGGCAAAATCCAAGCCACTCTGCTTGCAGGCAGGTGGAGAAAGCTTCCCTGCACAGTGACCCCACTGCAGAGGACGGGGGACGAACAGCTGGACTGTCAGCCCCCGATGAATCACTGGGCTTCCCTCTAACTGATGGGGCTTCCTGTTTTCTGCAGTTTGGGGGCATGTGACCCTTGCTGGCAGATGGCCGACATGCACGGTGACATGGCTGAGTGTCTGTGCACACAGGCACACAGGGAGAAATCGGAGAACAACAGATGGGTTAGGGCGGGGGGGGCAGCGTGTGAGTAAACACACCCTAGTGCACCAAAACACACAGGTGACCTCACACACGAGGCTAGAGACGGGCGCCTTCTGCAGCATGCCTCATCACGTAGGCTTTTCATAAGGCAAGTGGGAGTAAATCAAGGTATCTGGTCAACCCTGTGTCTTGATCATCACATTCATTCCCTCATTCGGTAATTCATTGGATGTAGCTGGCTGTGGGCCAGGCCATGACCTGGGCACCAGGGAACAGACGAGGTAAAGTCCCTGACGTCAGAGAGCTGATATTCTATGGACAAAGGCATTCATCAATGGACCCAGTATGAGAAGCAGCGGCTCTATCTCATTTACCCATCTGTAAAATGGGTACAGCACAGCACTCTCATAGTTTCCTACTTACTCCACTTAAAGCTCCTGAGGAGAACTACTAGAAGACTTTACAAACATTATTTTAAAAAGAAAAATAATCTGCCTGCCCATAATCCCATTCGTTTTCTCTCTGACGATCTCAAAGCCTTTTACCCATGTGGCTTTGAACTTCCTCCTAGCTCCTCCCAAGACATAGATCAATGACAGAACTTTTTTTTTTTTTTTAAAGATGACCAGTAAGGGGATCTTAACCCTTGACTTGGTGTTGTCAGCACCACGCTCTCCCAAGTGAGCCACAGGCCGGCCCTATTAACAGAAGAACTTTTGATCCAATTCCCTAGACACCAAACAGAACTCTCCCCATTCTCATCTATAAAAGATCTCCTTTTCTGAAAGAAGATCATGAAAGGAGACTCCATAACCTCCCAAAACACAGTGTCTTTTCTCACTGTCAGGAAGTTCCTCCTAGTATCTAACCCTCATCCTTCCTGCTGCAGGTTCAGCCAACTCTTTTGCCTTGGTCCTCACTGCAGGCAGAGCTGATCATCATTCAGACACTCCTGGGGGCTCAAGGTCTGTGGCCCTCCACTCTGTTATTTGCCACCTTCTTTCCCACCATGCAGCAAGAAGCGGGAACCTCAGGCCTTGGGTGGGGTGGGTTTGGAGCAACCCCTCTGTGGGAAGAGTCCTGCCTTCCTTTGAGGCCCACAGACCAAACACAACAGCTCTGGGTCAAAAGAAAAGCCATTTCCTGAGCCCAAGTCCTCAGGGGAGCACAGTTGGGAGGAGGGTCTGCAAGCAAACACCAGGGACCATGTCAGGCAGCCAGAGGTTGGTGACCAACCTACATCAGGGGCCCTCCCCACCTCTACATCTCCTCTGGGGGCTGCGGCCAACCCCCACCCCAGACCAACTCCCTCCAGCCACACCCCTTCCTCTCTCCTTCCTGCCCACCAGCCAGGATTTTTCCAAAACAAAGTGCGACACTGCACACCGTCCGCAAACTCCACTGCACACCAACTCAGGCAGAGGAAAACAGCCGTTCCTGCCCTGTGAGTCCCAGGCCGTGGGCCAGAGGCAGGAATACCGCTCAGCAAACAGGCACATTTTCGCTGCAGCAGGCCCAGGGCCACAGCCAGGCTGCTTTGAGAACGAGTTCTCCTCACCCAGGTGGACTGTGGGAGAGCCCAGTGGCGGGGCAGGGGACCAGCTCAGTGACCCTGGAGTCACCCAACCTGGCACAGGTGTCCAGGAGTGGTTAGAATTAGGTTTTCCCTCTGTTTGCAGCCCACAGGCGACCCTGGAATCTGTTCACCTGCTTCCTTTTCATGCAGTCTTCTGACCAGACTAGACCAAAAGTCACCTCATACCTCCTTGCATATCCAGACAAGATAGCCTTGCCCACCCCTGACATACACACACAGACGTATTCATCCCAGATCAACAAAACTTTCTTCTAAAAAATCCAGAAATCCTCCAGTCACAACTAAACACCCACCTCTTTCTTCTGTAGGACCCAGGTTCTACACACCCTCGCAGTCAAAAGTTCTTCACGACGTCTAGCTTCACTCTTGCTGCAGCTCTAGTTTACAGGATCCGTCTGGCCCAGGCTGGAGATGCAGGGAGCAGCAGCTCAAGGACTTAGCTTCTAAGTGTCTCCAGACCACTGGCTAAAAGGCTTGGTTCACATGCCATCTCCCTATCCCCTGGGGTTAGGAGTCCTGGATGACACCAGATCCAAGCAGTGGTCCCAGGCAGGAATGGAGTGGCATTCATTGAGGAACTTAAAGCCTCTGTTTCCTCATCTATAAAATGAGCTCATAGCATCTGCCATAAGTGGGTGTCATGAGGATCTAAAAACACCCAGCCCAGCTCCTGGCCCTCAGTCAAAATAACAGTAATAAGAAAGGCCAACTTTAATTGAGCACATATTATATGCTCTAAATACTTAAGCTAGTTCATCCTCAGTAGTAGGTACACACAAAAATTAATATCCCTTGCATCCCAGCCCCAGAAACATCACAACCTAGATAGGGGCCCCTCTCCAACATGCGTATTCCGTGCCCATAGGAAACAACGTATACCTTGAACAGAGCCTTCCCTGCTCATGTGAGAGGCATGCTCCCTGCTCCTCCTGGAGGGGCCCAAGTGGCCTTCACACCTCCGCTCTGCAGGGCTGGACATGCAGGGCTGCCTCGGAGCAATGTGGTGGTGGCAGTGGGCTCAGCACTCGAGTGTGGCTGCCTGCAGGAGTGGCCTCCTCCTGCTCCCCCCAGCACCTCCCTCCAGGGCCCTCCCCACCGCGGGTCAGGCAGCTGTCAGATGATAGGGCCTCATGCCATCAGCAGCTCCCCCTGTGCCAACCGCCAAAACCACTCCCTGTTCCTCTACAGACCAGGGCGGGTGAAGATGGAGAGGCCAGCTTTGGGGCATGTGGTCAGAGAAGGGCAGGGAAGAAAGAAAAGCCAAACTTGTCAGGGGTCTGCCCCTTGGGTGTGAAGACAAGCCCAGTCACAAACAAGCAGGGTCCTGGGAGAGCCCTTGTTCCCTTCTCTGGGGTTCTTCCATTTAAGGAATTTGCCCATTTGCCCCCGCCACCAAAAATGCCAGGCAGAAGGAGCCCAGGGGGACCAACTAGCCCATCTTCCTGCTTCCTCCTGAATCAATGGCATTTAAGCCACACAGAGAATTATGCCATTTTGCCACCAAAAATGCCAGGCAGAAGGAGCCCAGGGGGACCAACTAGTCCATCTTCCTGCTTCCTCCTGAATCAATGGCATTTAAGCCACACAGAGAATTATGCCATTTTCAAAGAGTTCTGTCTCCAAAAAAGCAGACCCTACAAATTCCTCAAGGTCTAATAACCCCCTAAAAGTCTGGGGGTCCTGCTGTATCTCAGCCTTTAGTCCCTCTTGCTGAGATTTTGCCCATTTCCCTGACCCTTTCCAAGACTGCCATCGCCAGCCAGCCCACAGAGCATGTCGTCTCTCCTTGCTCCCCTCCCTGCAGCATGGAGGCCTGGCAAAGGCATGGGCAAATGAGCCCTGGAGCCAGCTTAGATGGAGGCCAAAGCCAAGGCTGAGGCCCAACATGTAAGTAACGGGCCTGCACACAAGCCCAGCCCTGCATGCTGAGCGCCCCGGCCTGCCCTTCCAGAGAGACTAAGGGAGGCCCACAAAACAAGACAGGTCTGGGACATTGACCACCCCCATCTCATCCCCCCAGGCACCAGGGGCCCCACCATATCCTTCTCCTCCCCCATCCCCATACTTACGTCCTCCTCGAGGCTTTTTCGAGTGTTTCCACCCCGTGAGGCTCCTTCTCCCTGTAGACAGAAAAGGCCATCAGAGAGGGGCGTCAAGGAAAATAAGCAAAGGGCACACAGGTCCTCCACCCGCTGGGTCTCTCAGGGGTGGAGGGTGAGAGGGTTGGCAGAAGGGCCTGGGAGGCAACTTTGCTGTTTAACATTTCTTTGTCCGCTAAAGGCCCCCCAGAGCTAGCCAAACCCTCTCATTTGTGTCTACTGACTACTCCTGTCAGTGATACTATTATTCCCATTTTGCAGATGATGAAACTGGGGCTCACCTACAGTCACACAACTGAAACCATGGTGGAGTCAGGATTTGAACCCAGATCCTCCAACTCCAAGCCCACGATTTCATGCTGATCACAGCCAGGAGATGCACCTCAGCTGCTAATCTTGGTTTCCCAACTGCAGAACCCACTATATTCCTCCCTTCCTCTTCCACACAGACTTGAGGACATCATCTGTCTCTCTGCTATGTCAGAAAGATCTGTCTGGTGGGCCGAGCCTGTGGCGCACTTGGGAGAGTGCAGCGCTGGGAGTGCAGCAGTGCTCCCACCACGGGTTCGGATCCTATATAGGGATGACCGGTGCACTCACAGCGTTCACTGGCTGAGCGCGGTGCGGCCGGTCTCAAAAAGGACAAAAAAAGAAAGATCTATCTGGAAAGATTAGCCTGGCTTTCTCGCATTCTACATATTTAATAAAAAAGCCCACACTTACCGCTGGCCTCTCCCTCGCAGCTCCCACCCCTGCATCTGCCTCTCCGCCTGTCTAGCTCCCCAGCAGCCCATCTCTGAACACACAGGGATGTCAGATGCCTGGCTCTTACCATCACCAGCATCCCCACTACTTCCCCCCAAGTTCCCCAAATCTACCCCAGAAGGATGTCCCCAGCCACATCTGTTCAGTTTCCCCCGCAGCCTTCCGGCCTCCCCACCCCTGCTCTGGCTCTCCTGGCCCTGCCCACCTGCCGTCACTCACCGTATCCACTACATTCTTTGGTGCACTCTCAGCGGTGATGGGCTGTGGACGGAGGGAGAAAGCAGTGTGAGGCCTCAGGCAAACATCCCCAGAATTGGCTCTCTCCCCAAGGCTGGTGGCCATAATGGGCAGAATACCTCCCGCGGCAGGGATGGTGCTGCCAGCCCAAGACTCAGATCTAACCTGGATGGCCCCCAGCTTGGGAGGCAGAGTTTGGAAAATGAAAACTTATTAGTACTAGAACCATCCAGTTCCACACTCCTTCACCAGGGACCCAGCAAGGTGCCTGGCACTGTCCTCTGTGTCACACAGTCACTGACCCTTCAAAAAGGAACAAGGAACGACTACACAAGGGCTCTTGTTCCCAGGCACCGGGCATTTCCACCTGTACCATTGCATTCACTCATGACCAGAATACAAGGAGACAGGTGCTGTTATTACCTTTTAGTCCTGCTTTACAGACATGGAGACGTTAAATGAGCGACCCAGAGTCATGGCCCCTACTAGGGACAGCAGGATCTTAACCCCGTTCTTGGGGTTTTCCACTTTGTCCCTTTGCATGACATCCTAGATGCCTGGGAGGAGAGCCTGCCTGTGTCCCGTTATCTCAGCAGGCTTTCAAGGCCCCCACCACTGGTCCTCAAAGACCTCCGTTTCCATGCACAAGAGCCCTGCCCCATCAGACATGGCCGCTAGTCCCTCCTTGCTCTTTCCCACATCCCAGTCTTTGCTTGTGGCATGGCTTCCCCTCTTTTCCCACATGGAGGGCTCTCCTCCTCCATGAAGCCCTCCCTGACCACCCTAGGAAGTGGGGCTCTCTTCCCCACCTCTGAACTCTGATCAACTTCACTGTCTGTGCCACTTATCTGGACCTTAATGGATGAATGACCTCATCGTGGGAATACATGTTGTTTTTCCCCAACTATTGCTTTTTTGTGATTCTTATTCCACCTTCATCCAAAATAGATTCAAAGCAATATTTTTACCAACTCAGTCGAAAACTCCCTCATGCCAGGGACCATGCTTTATGGGTAGTGGGCCATCAATATACACCTGTTGACTGATCCTGTCCCTCGCCCCATAGCCAATACTTCCTCTGCTCAGACCAACAGAAGTGCTTCCTACTAAAGGCATCCTGAAAAGTGGACTCCTTGGCTCCCTATAACAGGAAGAGAAACTTCCTATTGGAGGTCCACCTCCTGACCACAGCCTCTAGGGTGTAAGGTGGTTATGGAGCCCTTGACACATACAGAGGGACAGGAGCACAACCATAAAGGCTATGAAACAAACTTTTGCAAAGATAAGCGTGGACCAGGTTTAGGATAGTGTGCCTCAGAGCAGGAAATGCCTGCCCTCAACCCCACCCCCAGCACCTGAAGGCTGAGCTATTCGTGTCTGAAGACAGCTAAATGGACAGAATGGCCTCTGAAAGCTTCTGACATCAGGGAAGAGAGTGGGCCAAGAGGAGGAGGAGAAGAAAACAGGAGAGGCGAAGGTAACAGTGCTCTCTCTGGAAATGGCTCAGACCCATCCACCCCTACTGCCTGCAAGACGGGAGGCTGAGGCCAAACCTTCTCTCCAGGGGATGAAATCTCCTGAGCAGTTCAGGGCCAAGGCAGCTTGGGATGGTAGAGGGAGGACAGGGTCCAGGCATGCAGTAAGAGGGTGTGGAAGGCACATCAGCCACCCCCTCCCCCCATGCTCCCAGGTGTATCCTCCTCTCCCCACCTGGAGTCTGGGGATGGCTCTGGAGGAGGATCAAAGATGCCACATTCTGCCCCCTCCCAGTTCAGCCCCAATCCTAATCCCCTAACCCACTCCCTCCCACAGTCCCAACTCCTGAGCCATGGGGCAGGTGACAAATGAGCCCACTGGAAATCTCCAGGGGTCCCTGCCCCAGCTGAGGATAAGTCCTAAGCCCTGGGAGGTGCCTGCAAATCCTGATCAGCTTTTCTCCTCAGCTTCCATCAACAACCCCACCCCACCCCTATCCCTCTACCAGGGATCCTGCTCCCAGGGAGTCCTCTCTAGCAGTGTCAGCCCACCCGGGCCCTCTCGACCCCCTGGCCTTTCTCTTCCAGTCCAGGGCTCTGTCATGCTCATATGCAGACCTTGAGTTGGCCAGGATGGCCCAACTGCCTCCTCTCTGATCTGCTCTGGTCTCCTGCGGGGAGGAGGGGAGCTCCTGGAAGGCACATCACAGGGTCTTTTCTGTGCAGAGTCAACTTTTATGTGCAGCAGGACTGAGATACAAACCCAGATCTCCCAACTCCGAAGTTACACAGCCTCCCAAGAATGGACAGAAATGGGACTCAGTCCCTGCAGAGGTCCATTCTGACCAGGAAGAGCCCTTTCCCTCCTCCTCTGGGTAAAGCCTCCTAACAGGCTCCAACTCTCAGCAGAGTGTGAGCCAGTGAAAGTCTCAAACTTGAGTGTGCATCAGAGCCATCTGTAGGCTATTGACACACAGGTGCCTGGGTCCCATCCAGAGGTTCTGGGTCAATCAGACCTATCGTGAGACCTGAGAATGTGCATTCCTAACAGGTTTACCGGCAACGCAGGTCCCAGATGACTCTCTGAGAACCACCAGCCTGACTAACAGGCGTTGGCAGCAAACTGTGTAACCTCAAGCAGGTCACTTCGTCCTTGCTGCTCCTCAACAGGACTGCACAGGGTTATTTCGTGGGAATCAAATTAAATAAAGAACATAAAGCACTCAGAACAGTGCCTGGCACATAGGAAGCTCTCAACACATGTTAGCTATTGTTATTATGTATCATCTCCACCCGCAAGGCCAACACCCTCTCAGGCCCACCCTGCCCCACCTTGACCCTACTGTCCTACCCCTCCCAGGTCTGGCATGGTGCAGACAAGGGAGCAGGAGTCAATATTAGAAACCACAGGCCTCAGCAGTGCGAGAGAAACTTTCTCCTCCTGCCAGCGATCATCTGAGCACCATCCCCTCTGCCCCCATCCCTTCCCCGTGCCAGCTGGAGGCCAGCCACAGGGCGACTGGCTTGCCAGCGATTAGATGCCTTCATCTGGTTGAGATGCTTTCTGAAGAGCTAAAAATTTCCAAAAACCCCTCCTGACCTAAACACCCGAGTTGTCCTGCAGTGTTTGCAAACACAGCCCAGCACGCATGCTGCCCTCCCTGCCTCTCCCCTCCACCCCCGATTCTCCTGGGATTGAAGTCCTGTTTCTATTTTTCTCAACCACTGCCAGCCCTCGGGCTACTGGGAATGAAAAAAGGCAAGGGACTGGTAGAGGGCAGGTCTCCCCTGAGGTTGCCCCTGCCCCGGGCCCTACAGCGGGGCTGGGCCACTAGGAAGCTCATCTGTGACCTCCTGAGGCAGCAGCCCCAGAGCTCCAAGGCCAGGCAGAGAGCCACTAGGCCCCGACTGTCACCCTACCTTCAGTAGCAACCCCCCCACACAGACACACACACATACTTTTTACCCCTTTTCTGGTTTCCTTTTCTTTCTTTTTTTTTTTTTAAAGATGACGGGTAAGGGGATCTTAACCCTTGACTTGGTGTTGTCAGCACCACGCTCAGCCAGTGAGCGAACCGGCCATCCCTATATGGGATCCAAACCCGTGGCCTTGGTGTTATCAGCACCGCACTCTCCCGAGTGAGCCATGGGCCGGCCCCCTGGTTTCCTTTTCTGCCTAGAATTCATGGCTCTCCAACACATTATATATTTTACTTACTTATCTCATTTAGAGTCTGCCACTCACACTAAAATGTTAGTTCCTTTTTGCCCCAGAGCCTAGAACAGTGCCTTGCATGCAGTGGGCCCTCAGTACATATCTGTTGAGTGAATAAACCAAGGGTGCTCCCTCATATCTTCCCTGGCCCCCCACACTGCTCAGCACTGCCAGTGCAGCTAGCACCCCCGGGCCCTCTGGAACTGAAGCTCCTCACCTCCTTCTTTGCTTAGTTTTCAGCCAGGACCATTCTACACCTGCCACACACACACACACACACACACACAAACACAACATCCTTTCACAACACTCCTCAGAACATCAGCTCTGAGGGACTTGAGACATCATCTCCATTCCCATTTCACAGATGGGGAAACTGAGGTGCAGAGAGGTATGGCCTGCCCAGCCTCTCACAGTGGAGGCCACGGCAGGGCTGGGGCTAGCTCCCAGGTTTGTAAAGTCCACTGCTAAGCACACCTTGCCACCCTGCACCTTTGGTCCCCAGCCAACCTGAGGGCAGCGTCAGCGGGGCGCCTCCCTGTGGGCTCTGCTCTGCCTTCCCCCTCAAGCTCAGCTGCATAAAGATGAAGCGGATGAAGCCCAAACAGGGACAGCACCCCCCATTTGGCCCCACCCCCTGCCCAGTCCCAGGACAAAGCCTGGAGTTTAAGGACCCCAGATTTTCCAAAGTGAGGGCAGCTGACTCACAGCCCCATCAGGAGTCTTCCAGAACCTTCCTTGCCTCCAGGCAGGACAACTCGGAACCCAGTTCGGGAACAGGGACAGGCGTAGATCTTGTGCTAACCTGCTCTTAGTGGATCCCTCTGCCCCAGGGTCTCAAATGGGGGATCTGGAGCAAGGTGGGGCCTAGGGTGAGGTGGTTAGGGCACAAAACTTAAGGAGGCATCCCTTCCAGGTCCTGAGAGTGCACCCACACAATCCCCAGAGTGCACCTCACTCGCCTCACCCTGGTCCTGGCCCTGGTCTGGAGACGCCCTTTCACGGAGTTAATGCAAGAACAACTATTCACAAAGTGCTAAAGATGCCCTGGACATAGTATTAGGCTCTTTGCTTTCCTGATCATCAATCCTCATAACACCCTGGGAGATAAGCATTATCCCATTTTACAGTTGAGGAAACTGAGGGTCCAATAGATTAGATACCTTGCCCAGGGTTACGCAGCCAGGAGGTAGGAGAGCTGGCATTTGAACCTTGTTCCTTACATCGTCTCCACACTATCTTTCTTCTCCCTAGCAATGATGTTCAGTCAGTTCCTCTTACTCTCAGTCAACTGGCCTCCTGCTGGGAACAAACTTTCTGAGAGGGAAAGACTA